CATCGTGTGATATCTTGTTGTGTGTATATTGTGATCAAACGAGATCCGGACACAACACAGGTATGACCTAATGCAAAGCTAATCAGTAAGTTCGTTAGCCTGTTGTCTAATTCAGTCAGATTTTGTAGTTACAACCACAAACGTTTCACCAGTAGATAGGAACACAAGCTTTTTCTGATGGACAGAAGTAATTTTAGGCAATGAGTAGCTTATCTATCTCACTCATCTTTTCTATTGAAGGCAATAGGAACGGTGAAATTTGGGGTTCATATCATTTGGTCTGATGGATGTTATGTTCTTGTGGATTTCAAGACAAATTGATTAGCCCAATCGTTACCTTCAATTCAAATCGGGAAACCCACGACATGTTGACAATCACGTTTGCAGACAAAAAGCGATACCTTATCATCTGACTGTTATCTAAGGTCTATTGGTAAACTGACTTCATGCATCAACTACTCGGAATACTAAACGCATTCTTATGTCGGGCAAGAACTTGATTAACTGAACGTTTCCAAAACCTGTGGAGAGCTCCGACACTTTCAGTATTGTCAATGCTGTGGCAGGCTCGATATCTCTTGATAGGTTATACCCAGCAATATAGTAGCAGCAGGCTGAAAATCTTTTATTCTATTCAGCCTTAGTCGTTGCAGCGAATCCAAAGTTGCCTTCAGCCCTGATAGAATCATGTACCGGATTAATCGATTTTAACTAGCGACCATACAAGTAAACTTGTTTCTCAGGGACCAGAATCCTCCACTAAGTAGCCTTGCGTCCTGTTCATGTTCTACCATAATTCCCACAGAATATGTAGCATTTAGTTGCCGAACAAATGGCGTCATTAAACCCAAAAAATTTTTTATCTATAGACTGGGCAAGCCAAAGCAATAATCTTAGAAACTTGAGCAGATATCCAAAATCGCATTGGTTACCTCCATGATTGATTCGATTACATTAGAAGGGCTGTAGTTGGGGTTCTCAAAAGATAAAATTTATCTGCTTTCTTTGTTCTCGAACGTAGTTAGTAGTAGTAATAGTAGTAGTAGTTGCAGTTTTATTGTTATTATTATTATTATTAGTAGTAGTAGCAATAGTAGTAGTAAGGCATTCACTTTTTCTCTATGCGCAAATAGGGAGCATAGAATACATTTTAACGACTACTGTGACATTCCTCTAAATTCTTAGCTTTTCTAATAGTTCTAATTAAATAACAGTCTACCATTTTGTCATTCTGTACGTAATATTATGAGCAATTCTTCTTTTTAAACTCATTTATGATATTATCAACAAAGGCCAGTCACATTTTGTTCATACCATGAGCCAAAAAATCAAGAGCGGTTTGTTCACAGCCGTGTTTATGTGATACTGAAACACTTGGATGTGTTGATTGGTTAGTTCATCCACATATCAAATGTCACAGGGTTAAATTTACTTTTGGTAGCTTGATTACTTTTCGGTTGGTAATGGGTAGGAAAATAAACAGTAAGAACTCTCACACACATCTGGACTCAAATTTGAGGGTCCCTTCCCTTTCCAAAGCATGTAAGAAAATATTCTACCAAAGCAAAATCTATTGACCTTTTGAAATATTATTACAGAAAAATACATTGATGGAACAAAATGTGCTAAGATATGAATAGCACTAGTTGAGCAATCCTTCCAACGATCCTTTGATGGTTGAAACGTGTTGAATTCTACCGGGAGAGTCCCGAGTTTCGGTTAGATGTTTTCATAAGGAAGACTAACTCACCATTCGGTTCCAACAATCACGTGATTTGCCAACCTCGTCTATCACTGAAAAAATGCTGACGGCAAACTAAAAGCTGAGGATTGTAGCAAGATAAGCATATGGCCTGAAAGAAAACACTTGTACCGAAAACAAAGTAAATATTCAACGGTTATTATTAATGACAGCGATGTCCCCGAAGGTATATACACTACGCTTGAGCTGAATATTTCTATCCATGAAGCCTGACAACATCGGACTTCGGGGAAGTAGCACTGATGATATTGCCTAGCTTGGCTACGAAACGTCTGCGAACAACACTTCCAGCTCGGAAAACTCATCAACACCAACATTCGCATCCCGAGCTACAATCATTCCACATACTTTCTCACAGCACGAATGGTTTGAACGACAAGGGAATTATGAATAGACCTGATGTAACTATATGTTTGTTCGAACATAGGACCATATATTCAACAAACACACCGTGAATACTTCAACTTGTCTCTGGTCTTAAAGTGGCGCCTAAATTCTTGAAGAAACTTCAAAGATAACCTGACGTTCACGTAATATTCAAACGACTTAAACTGTTCTCTATTTTCTGTCATTATATCCAAAACCATTCATTCCTATCGATGAAGAGAGATACGGAAAAAGCAGTATATGGTGAACTGCCCGACAGGTACATTCCTGATTCCAAACCAGATCAAAATGCTGATCAACCACTTTACTCCACATTTGAACAAGATGATGAAAGTTCCGCGGAATGCCATTGCACACCTCAGATGCCGACTGAAAACTGTGTCCCTGTTTATGTTGGTCCAGATGATATTTTGGTGAGTAAATTATGTGGCTTTATTGTGCTGTTAAGCTTATAAATGTTTCACAAAATCCTGAAGCAAGACTGTGTGCCAAACAAAGCAGCGTACAGTATTCTTTATAAAAAGAAAACAGTTCTATAACTGAATTTAATTATCAGCTATTAGACATATTGGCCACTAAGAATGTGTTGCAATCGGCCTTTATCGTTGAGTTTAGTATAATCGTTGGCACACATTGCTTCAGATGCAGTAGTTCTTGATTTTTTCTAGCACCGACGTAAACGCTCATTCAATGGCTACTAGTTTCTAACCTGAAGAGGGAACCGAAAGACACATATTGGGTACTTTCACTGAAGTGAAAATCTTTACAAAACTCGGTCTAAACGGTATTTTTGCTTTAATGATCAATAAGAAAATGAAGGTGTGATAATAGTAATAGTTGTAGAAAAACACTAATACAGAAGACTCCGAGAATTTGAATCTATGAGCTAATTGAAAATACCCTCAAAGCCTTATGTACAATGAGTCTTTTTTTAGCCTGTGATTATGTTTTAATATATAGCAAATGCGAGTAAGCTATTTCATAGTGCTGCGGTGATAGATGTAAAATAGTCACATGTATGGAATAATTGACTGATGCTTCGTAGGTAAAGTTAGTCATTCTGAACATCCGTGAAAGATTTTAAGCTATGCGTGAAGAAGGACTGCTTACGTCGAGCTTAGGCATGTTGTTTCTTTATTGAAAATATCATGGACCGACTGTTAGACGTACCACGCATGAGGTGATTTCATTGACCGTGATAAATGTTACGGCCTGTGTTTATTGTATTTTGAAATTTGAAGTGACTGACTGTACTACAGTCAGTATTACAGGTATTTTATTGTTGAGTTGGTTGCCAGTCTGGAAGGGTAAACACATGATGGGATGTGTTCGTAAGTGCAAACAAAAGTAAAGCCGCATTCATTACATGAAACTAATAATACGTTATTAGCTTCCAATCAAAACTATTACTTATCACATATACAGAAGGAAGCATTCAAAGTCCATGATGGTCAGAGACAATGACAACAAATATAATTTCAAAATCAGGCATGATTGAAACACATCAGGTTCTCTGCTCCAGGTTTTTTTGGGTATGTTAAAGAGCATAAAACGTTCCAAGGATGAGTCGACTTGTGGCATGCCACTATATGATGAACATCAGAGGGAGAAAGCCCCTTAATCACGATAACTTGCTATTTGCAAACAGTAAACGGCAGAGAAATCCCTGGAAATTGAAGTGGAAAAACACACAACTCGGAGATTTATAAATGTTGTATTGAGCCGAATTAAATGGAAGCTACTTATGACTGAAGTACTGTAGTATTGTCAGAGTTCGAAATCCGGTGTATAATCACACTAATAACAGTGGCTTTTAATACTTTTGCTACCATTGACCGTAGTGTTTTACAATGAAAATATTTCTGAAGGATTCATTTTGTAGAAACGTGATCAACATAACTTGTTCGCTCATTGTGTTTGCCATATTAACTGCAATCTTCAGTGTTTACTTAAAATTCATAAACTACGAATAAGTACATTGAACTTATTACCCCTTTGAATAAGTAGTCGACGCCTAACAAATGATTGGCCAATTAATAAAACCCCATCATTGCTTTTGCGGAGTAAACCACAGATTATACCATGGTAGTATTTATGCAGCTAATCAATATTTTTGTTTTTTTATATTTTATTTGTCGTTGGTATCTTCAGCCTCTTTTTGTGGTGTTTTCGTTGTCTTTATGCTTTAGTGCCCAAGTGTTCATATAGCGGCTTTATAAGGATTGTGTCAATACGAGGAGTATTTCTTCCGTCGTCCGTTAACTCACGTTCTAGTGTATTCTGTAAAAATACAGTCCTTATATTTTCGTTACAAGAACAACAAAACAGTTTGACGACGTTTTCAATGCTTTTCAGTGGTTACTGACACGTGAAATCTTCACAAGGAATACACATTGATAATATACATATATCAGACCAATAATCAGACCAAATCAGTCTGTTTGAACTGTTTTCTTTCTTTCCCAATCATGATGCACTGTTGTAAAAATGAACTTTGAGTTTGATTGATTGAGTTCAGCTGCCTTGCTCTGCTAAAGATTTCATTACTGGGATTGGATGATATGTATCGGTGTACAAAATAATGACTGTCTGTAAATTCAAGATATACCTATCAGGTGTAAATTAGTCTTGTGAAGTATTTTGAGTTCATGACCATACAGTAAAGTCATTCTTTATTTGAATGATTTGTATAGAACCGTAAAAATCGAGTATCTGGAAAACACTCCGAGAGGAATGTTGTACGCCAATCGTTGGTCCCAGTGCCACCTATCCAAGAGTCGACGACTTACCGGACGGATTACAACTTTCCTGGACCGCTGGTATGTTACAGCACCAAATGAACTTGGATGTATTACTCATATTTGCGTCTGGATGGTAGTGACTGATAGCATTTTATTGATTTTGACCCACCGAAAGCAGTAAACTACTGATTAACTCTGGCGCAAACAAGACCTAGTCTCTGGTGATTCCTGAGCTCATATTCAACTTCAAGAACTGATGGTTATATGTGAGGATGTAGCCTAAATAATAATTCATTACCAAATAACAATGAAATAATGTCCGCAAATCTCAAAGTAAACCCATTATCATTTGAAAACAAAAAATAACTGGAATAAAGGAAATCAGTACAATTAGAAATATAATCGGCAACTAGAAACAGAACTCCGGGATTTTGTCTTTTCTGTCACACTTTTGAAGATGATGGGAGGATTGTATTCTTGATCACGATAACGCATTAATTAGGAGCCACGTCTAACTGCTCTTCAGGAGGAAGTATAGTAATAAAATGAACTGTCTCTTTTGCGTTTGTTTTCTCGGACAATATTCTTAGGGTTAGATATTTCAGTTGTTTGATCAGAAGTGCACTAGCCGCAAAATGATCAATCCCAGAAGAAGCATTACACCAGGGGAAGAAACATCCGTGAGCAATTACCATGTGCCTGTAAACACCTGTAAACCTTTAGACGAATTGTCATTATTGTTTTTTTTTACCTCACTTCCCCTCATGGTTATCATGAAGCACTTCAACCAGGATAGTTAGCATGCCACCCAAATACTTTTGCTGCTGATTGGTCATACTTACCGAGGCAGATAGAGGATGAAACAATACTGTAGAAGTGAAATAAGACTTATCCTGGTCATTTGAATCGGAGTCCAAGGCTCACAGTCACATCGATCGCATCAGACTATTTTTGAGGGCTTTGTGGCTGACTTAATCAATGGTTAGAGAAACGGGAAGGGGGAGATGGCTAGGTGCCGTTGTCAATAACGGCCACGTATCCCTAGGCCAATGGAGTTCTTGTATCCCGACTTTGATGGTTCTTCTTATCTTCAGATTCATTAACTACTGCCTCATTGATCGGCCAAATGGGCGATTGATAAATACGATAGTGCAAGGTTAACAAGGTTGTAAAAATTCAATAGGACTGGTGATAATGATAATGCAACTAGTATTGACTTCGAAATCAAATTTTTTCGGCTCACACCTTTTTGATCTCACTCTGATTTGTGATAATTGTAATCACACCGCCCAGTATCTCATTGATGGGATCGATGGTATGAGAAAAAGTGACTACCAGCCGTTCGTCTCGTTCGCAAACGGACAACATTCGGATATGGCAAAGCATCTGCCTGCGTTACCGGAACCAATAAAACCGATGATTTGTCCCGATGACGGACAAGGTTTTCCGCCTGAAGCGATGGATGGTGTCTCCAGAAGATGGTCACTCACCCGAACAGAGGTGGGTCGCAGACAATCGATTCCGATTCTGTGCCTGGAAGAACAGAAGCCCCATAATGAGGAGCAGCGTCGATCTTTTCAAGTGTGTTCCAGATTTTTTCATGTGGTTTAATGTTATGATATCGTTTTTTTCCTTTATTGCTTTTTGCATACAGTACGGTTATATTTCAAACCATAACAGACCATTTGGCTCTTACTAGGTCTCTAGTTCAGCAGTCCGGATACGTGCATCCATAGAGAATACAATTAAGGATCAACTTATGCCAACTTTCGTAGTGCCTCTCTTTCTATCCTCTTTTTGTTCGGTGCTTACAGTTGTGTTCTTTGTGTTCCACAGTTTGTTAAACTTCATCGAATGTGCATATTGTGTTGTACTATGCCAATATATTTCAAAGCAATTTTATTTGTTTTGTCTATCTAATTATCTAGCCACTACTTATGGTTCTCCCATAAATCAGGCATTTATCCAGTTTTATTTGATTCCTTTAAGCTCATATTCAGTTTTTCGCGTTCTCTGCATCCTGAATCTTCGCGTTTTTGCATTAATTCGTGTTGTACAGTGCATTTTATCAAATATATTGATGTCAGCTTAAAAAATAATCTCAGGTAATTTTTCTCTGTTCTCAGTACTACTGGTAAACTAACACATTTATCCTTCGATGTTTTTATATGTTGACACAAGGTGTATCAGGTGGCCGTATTAGCATTATTTAATTCTTTAAGGACCAATAATCTTTTGTTTAAGCGATCTTCTGGTCCATTTTCCCCTAATTTTTCTGGATAAAATGAATTGATTAGTGACTCGAAATTTGAGGCTTGCTAGCTGCAAACTTTGTACGCTAAATAGCACTGAAAATACTCCTTCAAAGTGCCGAGCTATCTTGACAACCATCGGATGGCTTGCCATGAACCAACCAACTTTTCCCCTCAACACACCTCAATGGGTGTTGAGACAAATTTGTCTAGTTTGCAAGAGGAAAAAGCTGTCGGGAGAGATCACAATTTTTGTTTTGAATTAACAAGTTATACTTGTCACGCAAACAGGAGTCTTTCAGCAAAATCTTAGTGACCAGTGTGCAGGAAAAGGCGTTTGGACAGCCTGTATGAATCCAGTATATATATATATATATATACATGATTCACAATAAGTAGTATGTGACTGACAGGGAAAAATTTCCCTGGAAGCACATGACCGGGTACGCCGCTCGTCAGGCATGTGTATCCGGTAATCTTTTGCCAGTTTATTCATATGCATGTACCCAGGAAGTGTATTTTCATTACAACAACGTTGTTTGCAACACTGAGTGACCATTGGATACGCAGCTCTTTCAGAGCCAGTTCATTCGAGAATCAATGCTATGTTTCGATGTTTTGTATATATGTTTTGTAAATACAGGTATATATACATATATATATATATTTATAACATCGGTTTGAGAACGAGCATGGTGCCAACAACACAACAATTGTACCAATAACAATAACGCGGGGGGGGATTGGAATATAGATTTTAGGGAGAGAGACGTAACTGTGAGAATGGAAGATAACGAATAAGTCGAATAACAATTTATTTTGTTTTACCGTACACTTTTTAAAATGTTTTAAGTTGTTTATTGTTTTTACGAGGCGCGGGATTTCGACAGGCAGACCGTACTGCATTCGCACCACTGACTCCTATTCTGGTTCATATCTCTCAGCGTCTCTAACCAACGACAATCCTCATCCTTTGGGCCCCAACCTGGACGATGAATAGCACCAACCGCAGCCAAAGCTGAAGCTATTTTTTCTTCATCCCTCCAGTTACATAATTATTGACTTTGTTAGTCACAAACGTTTGGCAGCTGAAAATATTGTTGAATGGTTTTAGTCCAGGATCCGGATGTTGGTGCTCCATTATTTTCAAGTCAGAGTTCCGAGTTTTTGAAAACATATTCTTCATCGCTGTTTAGCCATCAGGAACCACAAATCACTCCTTCCTGTGAATTCTCCTCTCATCAAATTGTCCTATCTTATTATTATTCTTTGTTAAGATTATACTTTGGTGATCACCCAGGTCATGTTACTTCCTTCAGGTAGTTTCGCGTTTGGACTCAACTTGCCTCGATTAACGGCTATGCGATCATTGTATCCTTAACCGTCGAACTGCGTATCGATATACCTTCTGGTCGAAATGCAGTTCAACCGTTTTCGTTTTGGGAAATACATTCTTGGTTGTTCTTCTGTGTCTGGTTAGTATGGCTAGTATGTCAGCATGGCTACCTACAAAAGTATGTTTCAAGAGATAGTTGTCTGCTGGAATATCACTGGTACCCACGGGTGGTCACACATAATCAATCATATCCAACGCTAGTGATGTTACTTTTGCAGTCATTTTTGAATTCGCAAACCTGGAGAGTGTAGGGGTTCAAGTGATTGAATTCACAGTCATTGCCATATTCCAACTTACGAACATGACATTAGGAATAGAATAACCAGTCCTGAAACATATTGAGCAGCAAACCACAAAGCCCAGGAAGTATACGGAGGTTTGCGTCCTGGTAAGTGTCGAATAAGACAGCATGAGAAAGGTTTATTCTTTCAGCTCCAAAAATCTTGTTTAAGTACAAAGTCACCAAATAATATGACGCAATGCAGTGTGTAATGCATTTCCCTTATCTCAAACTGTACTGAGATATTATTAATCCACCAGTTGGCTAATATGCTAAACAGAAACGTGGTATTTTTCGTCACGTTTTCCGGTCTGAATCACGGTACCGATTTCGAATTGATTGTTCTTGTTACGATTTCTTTTATCAGGTACACATCTATCTACTCAGTGCTTTTTGATCTCTTCAAAATCCTTTTTGCTCCCATGTTATTTACCGGAATTCTCTAGGAACGACGCCGACAAGAAATGACCCAGTTCAGAGATTCCTTCACTCGTGCATCTGTTTTGAAGGAACCAGTTTCCTTGCTCAGCGGAAAGGACCAATTACCTGGCTATCATCATTCACCTGCTGTGACTAGGCCGGGAAATGTAAGTGTTTCCATTACCCAGTATGTCCGCATATTCACATAAATTGAAACTCAGAATCCAACGAGATTTTCATTCAGTACGTGTTCACAGGGCAAACATCGGGGATTGTAGTCTCATCCTGATTTTAAACCATTCAAAAAGGAACACAGAAAGCTGCTCCCGGATATCTTGGTAGTGAAAGTCATAGAATTATCAAGAGTACTGAGTATGTTGACACATTACCAGTGAGCAGCACTTTATTTCACCGGCTGACCCTCAAAAAGCAGTGGTTATCCCAAGACTGAGTCACTTTATATTTAGTTTGCTGGGGGCGTTTACATTCATTATCCAATCCCTAAACAAAATGATAGAAACACANAACCACGAATGGAATATTCTTAGTCTTCTGGACTAGCTTTGTTTGCATAAATATAGAAACCTGTCTATTTAGTGTCAACAGACCACCCATTTGTAAACTTTTATGATAGAATAATGAATGCTCCAGTTCTCCTTTTACACTCCACAGTCAGCATTTTTATCATTCGATTGTCAGAAAGGCAAGCCGATTTCCTTTCCCTGTACAATTTGAATGTTACGGTTGAGATGAATAAATCTGTACGATAGCCTGAAGTTGTATGCATGTAGAGCGTTTCATTCCCTGGTACAAGATGGCACGAGAGACCGAATCATCGTTAGTTCGTTAGTTCGAACTTACACTATTTAGTCTTGATGATATCATTCAACAAACTTTGTTTAGCCAAAATGTCGTTTAGCTTGCGTTGATTGAAGTGGGTTCATAGAAGATAACATGAAATATGCGTATATACCGGATTGACGTCCAGTGATAGTAGGACGCGCGGAACACGAACCTCCAAGTCCAGACAGAAGGAACACAGTACGTGGACTGAGGTACAGATAAACAAACAATATGCTAAACATACCTCAAGTTACGAGCGATGCAGCTCAGAAACCAGACAACATGGAACAGAATGAAACGGGACATCGAGTCAGGCCACTTTTATGTGCCATCAAACCAAAGAACGAAGAACATCAAATGGAGCAGCGCATTTAAAGGGGGTAAACTGATCAATCACCATCAATGGGTTCATGCATTTACATATACATCTTAGTGGGACACGGAATACCCGATGTGTAATAAAGGGAGATGAATCAGCTCAAACGAGTGTTCAAGGCGAATTGGACAGGTCGCTTTTATCAATTGGACATAAAAATCGATTCGGAATGATTAGTAATCAACAACATCGGAAGGGGGGCACAGATCACAAATATAGATGTCAGACAGATTTGCCGGTACCAACATGTCCCCGAAATGTACTATGCTGTCTATGAATCAAACGTTACCTCAAAGGGGCATGAGCGCAAGGAATGAGACCGGAGTAATGCATGGATGCAGGCAATTATGGGGACACATGTTATATCATATCATGCAATACATGAACCAAGTCACAAATAATGACAGTTTTAAGTGAACACATTTCCTCAAATCTACTTAGGTATACCAACTTGGTCGAGATTGTGTGTTTTACCAATGAATGAACATGCAGTAGTCTACCAGCGATGAGTCAAAAGGTGATCTATATAGAGCAGATAACAGGGGTCAAACGGAGGAGAAGAAAAAGTACAGAACTGGGGAATGTTAATTTGATTGGCATGGGTATTTTTTCCAAACTGGTTTTTGTTACATTAAATCGAATAAATTGTTTGCAATTTGCTTGCCAGTCACAAGTCACAACGCTTAACTGACGTATTACTTTAGGTCCCTTGCCCGCCAGAATCGACTATCTATCGTGATTTCCGTGCGCCGGAGGCCGGTTCAAGGAAACCGATATTGTCTCGTACTGAAAAGGGACAGTTATCTGTGGAATGCCCTTCCTTGTATGTTTCTGGACTCAATGAAGTACGTGTTTAGTGAAGTTAAACTCGATTTATGTTTGCCTGACTTACGCAAGAAGTCATAGCCTATTGTTAAATTCATCGTTGCCTGCATCTAAGCTGCAGTCTTTTGAAGCGCACGCCGATACGACAAACAGGTTTAGTCATACAATACAATACAACTACATTTCTCTAACAAGCTGTGCTCCACCAGAGCAGGGAGAAGGTCATCAGAGCCCGGCGCTTTGTAACGTTCCAAGGATAGATCTCCTTACGGATTTTTGCCTCAGAAGGTGGGTCTTTTGAAGCAGACCATGGAGCTGTGCCAGAATAGCTGTGTGAGAAGCTGACGTTAGTGACCAGCTACATTGTGCTTTGAAGTGCTGCGTCCAGCTTGCAAGGCGTCGCCGTTGATTATGAATGGGTGAACGTTCAGCTACGCAGATCATTTCGCTCACGTCTAAAGCTTTCCTACCAGTGACCCGAATGAGGTGGAACAGCTTGAGGGGATTACCCATGGAGGCAATACGGCTGGTTTGGACAGCCTATCACAGTCTAACCGTCGTTGTGTCGTGCCTTTAGAACACCCACCGAAGCAACATGGACAGCTTGGTGCATACTAATGCGTGGTCTGGTTCGATGGGAGTGCTCCAGTACAAACTACAGTCTTGAATGCAGCCCCACCATTTGTGGCTTATAGCGATGTGGTCCATCGGCGTTCATCGCTGACTCGAGGAGGGCGGACGCCACATGGCGTACAGTCAGTTGGAGCGTCTAAAGTTCGTACTGGCGAGGAATAGGTGGTGGTCGGAACATGGAGCTAACAGCCATTTCTCGTTTTCCGAGCCACAGGAATCTGGTCTGAAAGGACCTCCCGGGTTCACCTCCCTCAAAGTCAACCTGCCCACTCTAGCATTCATATCTTCTGCTAAAATCACGATATCAGCCTGACTTGCTTTACGCAAGAGGTGTTGTAGATTGACTGAGATCAAATCGCTGCATAATACGGTAGAACCGACCAAATTTATCAAAGATTTATGTGTATCTCCGCGGTGTCATATGCCAGCCGAGGCTTCTATATGCGTGTTGAAATGTCAGACAAAAATTACTCCATAGAGATCCCTAGCTGCTCAAGCGAATGCATCAGATAAGGAACTGGAATAATATAACCCTGTAATTCATTTTACGCTTTGTGATGCTAGATAATACATTCGGGTTTGCTGCTATATCGAGGATATTTTGTTTTAAAATTCTGACGGTTTAATCGGTCACGGTGCTTGTTGAAAAGCATTTGTCGACAGGCGCTGTAGGACGAAATAATCCGTCTCTAGTATCACAATATTGCATCAGTAGGCTTTTACTACGGACTATCGTTGTTTAGACATCGTTTCCCACGTTATATTGTAAGAGTACGGTGATCTAACCGGACAAGCAATACGGTAACGTTGTTTCTCTCACATATATGCAGTGACATCAGCTATAACCAACCTAGGATAAAAAATGATGATATTTCTAACCCAGGGACAAATCACATCGTTACATCAGGAATATGCTGGTGCAGGGGCTGTGTGGTGACGCAGTGGTTTAGTCGCTGTCACCGGTGTGCTTTGAACCCTTTGGTCCGCGGTTCTAGCCCCGCCACCGCCACTGGACTTTGGGGGTAGGCAGCTCTGCTGTCTTCCGGTTCAATACTACAGCTAACCTATCGGATCCTTATGTGGTTCGCCACTCCAAGTCTAGGGGCTTAGGTTGTCGGTTTTCACCACTGAAAAGCAGGTTATCATGACTATGGGGTTCGCCCCATCTGCTTTTAATCTCACTTAGGTGTGTAATAAAAGAAATGTCACATGAATGAGAATCATTAAACAATAACGCACCAGTCTAGATGATTGTACACGTGAGTTAACGTGTGAAAATATGAAAATTGAATGGTCGAGACCCTTATTTTGACAAAACGTTTCTCTTTCGACATGCCGAAGTGAATTAAAACAACCAGTCATTGTGCGAAATGACAAAACCCGGGCCCGAAATAAGAATCGGAGAACTGAAGACAACATCGCTAGACACAAGCAGTCTAATTTCAGTCCCAAAGTATTAATTCATAACGAGTGCTATTTTGATTGAAAAAGTAGGTTAAATATTTTGTCATTCGTTACTGATCTTCTCTCACTCAGACATTTATATTTCGAGGTTTTATCACTGCGTCCGTTCATCCGGGAAGAAAAAAGCTAGAATAAACTAATTCAGGCTACGTGGTATAGTGGGAATGTTGAGGTTTTTGAGTCAGCTTGGATCCTAAATACCCGACGAGCTTTTGGGTTATGATTACTATGTTTACGTGCATTTCTAATACTACTACTACTGCTAATTATCTATCCTGTTTGAAGTCCTTTTTGTACCCTGTTGAACAATTGATTTCTATAGGAAAAACGTCGACGAGAAGTGCCTATCATCAGTGGTTCCGCTTATCAGGGAACCGGTTTCAGGGAGTCACTGTCTATGCGCGGTGGAAGGGACCAAATACCGTATTTCTGCTATCCACCAGCCGTACCTAGACCGGGAGATGTAAGTTTTTCTATATGGTGATGGAATAAATATGTCGATGAAAATAACTCAGTCAACCATCACATAATGGATGGTATTCCCCAAGAAAATCATTTATCTGCTATTGTGCCGAGGACGATGAATATTGGTCAGTTTATTGTGAAAAAAACAAAATTATTTTGATAACCCTTATTTTTGTTCATTTTTTCTAGCTACAAAAAGTAGTTAGGAAGCAGTTAAGTGAGTAGGAGTGATCGATTTGATGTATGGTATGTAACGTAGTCGATAAGAATGAGCTGCCAGATTGATGTCCACTCGGTAATCGATATATGTTTTATGACTGAGGAGTAGGGCTAGATGTGTGTTGTACCGAGTGAAGGTAACCTAAATATTTTGAATTAAAACCTCACTGGTCATCTAACATTCTACATCTCCGAGAGTTGCATTCGCTTTTTGTCATGCCAGACCCTTTTCGATTAGACAAGTGATCATATGTAGGCAACGTCGAAAGTTAGTCACATTTCACTGACTTCATTTAGTTTTTAGTCAACTTCCCATCGACTGTGAACTTTCCTGTAACTTAAGCACTAGGATTTTCATCGTTATTTTTTCAATTTTTTCATGATACATTTTAAAGTGAAATCATAAATGCTGTCTTCTTGTTCTTGAATTCCAATGATGTCCCCGTCGTAAGCGGTTTTTTGCAATTCTCCAGTTTCAAATGTTGGTTTTGTTAGATATGATAACGGTAGTATTAACGTGTTATCCCTTGTTGAAATATCGAAATCGAATTTTTGTCTTCATCCGACAATAAGCTATTGTCTGCATGTGACTTCATGTACAATCCGACTTACTTCGATTTGCCATCCTGACACAACAAAAAACAATTCTTTCTGGAGCTTGTTATGTATACTCACATTGTTTTGGCAAAACCAGTATGTGGATAGATTCTTTGAGATAGATGTTACATTTCGTTATCGCAGAGTCAAGCTTGTTTCAAAATTCCCAACATGATCCAGGTAGCTGAACTATTGGAACTTAGGATGCATTCCTACGACTTCAAAACGGTTCATCTTGGCTGTCCACAAATCCACAATCATTGTTTAAGCATTTGTTGATGCTGATATGGTGCGAAGTGCTATTAACTCAACTCTGAGTACCCCGTAAGTTGCGCGAGTTCTTCATACCTCAGCTGTGCTAATCGATGTGCAATTATGCAATATTGAACAATACTCATGTCCGACCCGATAGGTGCACAAAGATCCCTAAATTCATGCATCAGACATAAGTCAGAATAGAAGAGTGGCTCGCGACTCAAGCTCACCAGAGATGGAAAAAAAAAGAAAAATACTCACCTTCGAATACCTAGGAATAAGAACACGCATGATTCCAATAAAATCACCGATCGCTGCTGTTTGGCCGACCTGTGTGGATATAGATCGGTGAATTATCACAGAGTTTGACGGAAGATCTCATGTTAGGACACAAGAAAACTCTGAAACGCTGCTTGAAGTCAATTGACCAATACATTCTAAATCATATATCATTTTTGGTTGTGAATGCTCGGCGCACAAAGCACCTTTTCCAAAGTGTTTCCATTAACTCATAACAGCGTACAAAGTAAACAAAGTTTCACAAATATCCATATATTTTTCTGGTCACAGTATCAGCAATCAGAACTTCTCAGTAATCATTTTATTTGGCCTTTGTTGGTTAATTTTCAAGAACGCACAAAATGAGTATCAAAGGCTGGACCGTTGAAAATCTGAGAGAGCACCTAACACGATATGTGATCTCGAGGTTGGTTAGCAGCATGGGCTCCCGAGTACGCAGATACAGGGAGCATAGACAAATATTGGGACACCATAGCACGACAGACTTATTACTGAAATATTCAGTTTCCTATTGAGGCTCGTCTGTTATTACTGAAACATCAGTCTTGATGAGGTCGCTCTGTAGATTATGCTGATGTGCCGAGCTTGTGTTGAATCGGTAACTCCTGTTATGAAGGTCCACAAAAGATTTCCTAGCAACGTATTACTTTCTGATCTTTTGAAAGGAAAGAATTTCAGTACACAAGATTATTATGAATCTTTTCTTATCTTTCTTCTATTTATTGACATTTATCCGGCGTAATACCTTAGGAACAGCATCGATCAGATCCAACCGTTTATCGGGATCTTAGAGCGTTGGAGGCCGGTTTGAAGGAATCACTCTTGTCTCGTGCTGAGAAAGGGCAGTTATCTGTGGAATGTCCTCCGCCAGCGGTTTCTGGGTTGCAGGAAGTAAGTTATTTATGCATTTAACTTGGTTAATTTTTTATTGGAAAGCGACACATGGGCTATCAAATGTTCCGTCAAAAAAGCAGGCCGTTGGCATCGTTTTCCGCGGTTTTATGATTACCAACGTGGTTTTGAATGCTGTACAATTGCTTTTAGAGGGAGAATTATGGCTGACCAATTGAAATTCAGTGATAAAGTCCATTCACATAGCCCGGGTGGACTGAATTCGTTGAAAATCTCTAACGAGTGGTACCCTAACCTCATAGCGTTTCATCACTAGCCAGAGTGATATTTTTTCCTTGTTATTCGGTGCTGTTCTGTTTCAATCTGTTCTCGTTTATAAGCTTGTTATACCGATCATGGATTACTTACTAACGATATCAAGTGAAATCAGATTTAAGGATGTCATAATCAAAAAAATGGATCGCTAAATATTACCTCAAGGTAAATTATATGCTCACCAATAATACCATTAACAGTTTGCAGCAAGCACTGTTTTTTCAAATAAAACGTTTTGCCCATATATCGTTTTTTTCTATACGTTGGTAATTTTCACCGTTATTTCCACTCTATATCCTTTTCAGTTCAAGACGTCTGAAATCCAATTTAAGATGTTATGTGGTTATGTGGATAGTACCTTGCACAATACAGAATGAATATATGGCAACTTAACATCGTTAATTGATACTCGGACATCTTAAATTCACATTTGGACATCTTAAATTGCATTTCGGACATCTTAAACTGAAAAAGATATAGCTTCCCGTAAATACCTCACAGGGGATGGAAGTAACTTTTCGACTTGTATATTTGTTAGGACTGTTGTCAAGTTTTGATTTAACCTTTTTTTGTTGCATCATAAAATCGTCAAGTTACGTCGTTCTGATTGCGGGATCTGATTTCACTTGTCTGTTTGCTGGGTCCCCGGAAGGGCAAAAGGCCAGTAGAAAGTTTCGCAAGTGTTTGATTGAGATCAGGTAACGATTTGACAGATGCACATTCGACCTTTGTCGCTCTCAATAAGGTAACGTCATGATCATGTATCGAAAAACTACTCCCTTTAATGATAGAAATAAACTGCGATAAGAACAACCGAGATAATGGGATCAATCACCAATGAAGAAGAAAATCCATGTGCTATAGAGTATTCGGTGATGGCATCTTCGCGATCGAATGACGCAACTGGAGGAAAAGACCATAATGAATGGCATTTCGTCTGAGCATTTCCTGCTACCCTAGCCATTCACGATGAAGCTAACGAAACGAACCGAAAGATAGTAAACTTTACAAGGTTAATTGTCAATTCTTATATACCATGAAGTTTTACGCCGTTTTTTTCTACAAATGACTTGATCAGCTTTTTGGTGCCTGTTCGTCTCATCAGCAGTGAATAACATGTTTGTGTCCCTGTCTGGTTTCAACTATCACATCGAAGTTGTGCAGTTTGAGTGCCAACACGGAAACAAAAATGGTACACTCTGCTGATGAGTTCAACAAGGATGAGCGAACTGCCTAGAAGTCTTTCTTCGCCACTACACAAAACTTGTATGTGGGGAATGAATGACCTCCATAGGAGTGAGACGCACATCGGAGCAACATTATATACACAAATCCTGGTGTCTTTGAATCTCCATAAATAAATAAACGTTGTTTTGTACCAACTATTTGCACCTACACTATAGAAACGGAAACCTAACTCATGTGAATAACTCTATCGCTCCTGAATAACAGATGCAAAATGTAATTTGTTGTTGTATAGCCGAAAGGTCTGATAAAACAGACACAAGAAATCTAACACATGGTATTTCTTTTATTAGTATGGCTGGGTGTCACAAACAGTGGCTCTCGTGCATCCACTCATTATTCCCCTATCACTATTCTATATGAATTCTCCATCTTCTGCTTGAATTTGCTTTCACCATTCCAATCTTCATTCTGCTCTTTTATCCAAATAGGGAACCGAAAGACAGCAATCAAATCTGGTGCATTGTTAATGATTGTAAAAACTGAACTGAACTGATTAGTGTTAGTATAATGACCAGCAGACGGGGCAAACCCCATATTCACGAGGACCTGCTGTTCATTGGTGGAAACCGGCAACCTAAACCCGGAAACTTAGAGTGGCGAATCTCATTAGGCTCCCATGGGTTACGCGTGCTATCAAAGAAAAGCGCCAAGGTTAGGACAATGGAAGCCACCAATATTAAATACAAACAACTGCCAGCAAAAAAGGCCATTTTCAACGTAGAATGTGTCGTGACCNCACTGTGTCAATTTGTGTATTCTATTGCATTGATTTGGTTTAACATTGAACAAATTGTCAAAATCTTTAAGTATCTCTTGGGCCAAAAGAGCTTGTTGAAAGATAATAAGAAACTGATTGTTACATTTTACCGGAATTATCCTGTTAGATCTCTGAGTGAGAGTGTAGGATCAAGTTGAACCTCACCACTTCATCGGTTCCGTTGCCTTGTTCTTATAGGGGACACTTTATTGTCACTGTTTTCTTTATTGTTTTTACCGTGTGGGAAAAGCCAAAAGTCCTAATAATAGTGATAGTGTAATGACAAAATGAATATTAAACAGCATTTTAGGAGTTACTTTTTCATTACAAGCTAATCCAAGCGGTGGCAAATTGTTTTATCGAATGCAGTAACCGTTTTAAAAGCATCTCTTATCATTACTTGTTGAGCAATAAGAATGAGAATATTATAGCCAACTCTTACAGTCTTTCCTACTGTCAGCTTTCAAGAAGGGGGCTATCCCCAGACGAAGTTATTCCAGGATCCCAATTGTACTTTCCACAAAATCAGTGGAGATTGTATTGAGTTTTCTATTGAGACCGGTTTCTAGACTGATTGCCCGTGGGCGATGGAGAGCGTCGATGCACAATATGTCTATTAGGTAGTGTGTTGATACCCTCATTGGCAAACCCTAATTGACTGTGACCTTTAACTGCAATATTGATTTTATACTTTTTATGCAATAACTGATGATGAAACGATTAGGTATGCATATCATACGGTCAGTACGCTACTCAGTATTACGTTCTGATCGGATTCTATCCAATCTGTTTACGTACCTTTTCTGTTATATTCTCATTTTCCTACGACCGCAAAATGGAACGCTTCAGCCTCATCAGCAAAATTTAACGATTGCCTACAGTAAGCGATCACCTCCAGAAACAAATGGAAAGGAATTGATATCCTCCTCTGGCCAGTTGAGCGGGTTCCCTTCGGAATTGCCATCAACAGTAATTTCTGGAAACGAAGATGTAGGTTATCCTAAAACATTTTTATTAAAAGGAAAAAAGCATGCTGTTTTGCCATTTAATCCATAGCTCTGCTCGAAAACACTGCCTTTAAGAGACATTTTGATATGTTTCGTATTGTTTTGATTTTTGAAAAAAATCTTTTGAATACGTCAGTGGATTATGAAAAAACGACTGATTCACCACGTTACACCGGAAAACAATGTGTAGACGTTTGTTTGAACAACCAACCATACAATATATCTTTCAGTTCGTACTTTCATGAGATATTTTTTTCGGGAAAATACACTTCCTTGGTACCACCATACAAACACTTGCGTGACGAGTGGCAGGAATCCCGAAAACGGTTGTGTGCTTGCAGAGAAATCCGGTCAAATTATACACATACTACATACTGTAAAATATATAGTAGCGGTAGAACAGGGCTAAACCACCAAATTTTCGACACGTATTTTGTGATTTAAGGTTGTATGTTAGAGTCAGATCTATTATTGGTGTATGATGACCAGCACTCTGGGGTCTTCTGGATGGAAGGTGACTTATTTGGCGTAGTTTGTTGGTTAGGGTGAATGTTTCCGCTTTTTGAGCAAGGAGCAATACCCTTGCCGAACTACTATAAGAAATATTCGGGTCTCACAAATGATGTACGGGACTTGAGGAACTATTTTTGCTATAAATCCACAAGGCGGTGCCGAGACGAGAAACGTCATTTATTACGAATACCGGTAAGGGTGTCAGCAAACTTGCATATATAACAAAACGTCTCAGCTGGAACAATTCTTCAGAAGTCCCACAAGCTTATGGGATGATTAGTGGAACTGTCCGACGGTAGATGTGCATCTCCCGTAGTTACCATTTTGATCACAGTACTTCGCTCTTAGAGATCTTGTTCATTTTTGACCGTTGAGAGAAACAGCCAATCACATTCTTTTGCGCAATCCGAACATACTGCTCACAGCACTTATATAAATAATTCCATCGTATGTCGATAAAATGTGAAAGGACACTATTGAAAGGGAGGCGGTATCCCTTTTAGAATTGGCGTTTAAAAGAAAAGAAGTTTCAGACATAAAGTCTGAGACTCGGTTGATAGAATTTAAGTAACCGGAGGATTGAGGCAATCTAGTGATGGAGAAACTTAGAATTACCATATTGAAGGTGGAAGGAAATGGGAACAAAATAGCTGTGTGATGTCTATTGTGGATCAATTTTGGGTCTCGGACAATAATGAGGCGTGGAGAGAATGTAACTGACGCAAATGATGATCGACAGATTCAAAAGAACGGTTCAAACCCCGAATTTTATGAAGACAGATAACAGAATGATTGGAGATCTCATGAGAATTTCGTTTGTTACGCGCGGTGCTACTGCCCTGAATGTTGGTAGAGCTGACTTTTACCTTTTACGATATGTGCATCAGATTAATTACCTTTTACGACTATAGTTACCAAACGCAATCTTTTCGAAACGCCTTATTTTGCAAACACTATAAAAATTAAACAAATTTGCAAGGTGTATACTTTGTCACATTGTGACCAAATGGCGCTAAGAGTGTGTCGAAAAATCGATGCGCCATGTAGTGTTTTATTGTGAATGTTTTAGTGTTATTAACACAGCAATGTCCGTAAAGAATTATATATAATAATGTAAAATATATATATATACATACTTCTCTACCGACATCGCTGTGTTATTAACACTATAACATTCACAGTGTATACTTTACTCCTGGCTGATCAACTGAGTGATTGGAAGAAGCACGTATAGTCCATTTTTGGAAATCTGTTTGAACCGATCGATGCATTACTGCTCTCATCTGGGATTTTTGATATTTCTCAAACATTCACGAACTCAGTTTACTCTGTCATCGTGAATTACTTTTCCGTAATTCTCACGCAACCTGTTTCTATT